CACACACACACACACACACACACACACACACACACACACACACACACGTCTGAGGTTGGTCACCAGAGATTCCTCATCTTTGTACTAAATCTCTCTCTGTAGTGTGTAGAATTAATTTTTTTTTTGGAGTCAATCTCAAACCTTGTTTCTACTCTGTCACCTAAGTCTATATAATAGTCTCAGTTTCCTTCTTGTGGTTTCAACAACGTTCCTGGCATTTTAATCAGGAGTAAATCCCACCTCAAGAAACTCCTTTGGAGAGAATTTGGGTTCGCTGGAGGACTAGAGGCTGCGTCGTTGCGATCTTGAGAAAAATAACCATGCCGTGTAAACGGTGTACTCCGAAGAAGGGAGGTGAGGAAGAGGACAGAAACCCGGGGGGTGATGTTGAGTGCCTGCCAAGTGCGGAGAAGCAGAAGGGGGAGACCCGGAAGGCCAAGCCACACCGCTGCGGCCCCCAGCAGAGCCTCTCCCAGAAAGCCATCCGGGGGTCCTCGCGAGGAGAGCCACAGGGCATGCCCACGGCTCTCACAAACCTCAAAACTCGTGACTTTGACCTGCTGTGGGATGGGCCGGCAGTGGGGGGCTCAGGGAGCCGAGGCTGGGGGCCGTCGTTAGAGTGGACGAAGGGTTTTAAACTGAGCGACCCCGGGGTCCTGAGGATGGAGCCAGGTTATGCCAAGGGGCATGGACTCCAGCCCGTCACAGTCCCAGACCGAGAGACAGCCGGGGAAGGGACAGATCCTGAGAAGCCCAGAGTGCAGGCAGGCAGCAGGAAGCTCCACCGTTGATGTACTGGAGCAGAAGTCATCCAGGTAACTCTGAGCTCAGCAGGTGAATCTGCTTCTGGAGCCGCCTCTCTGCTGTGAGGTTAACCGCTGCAGGAACTCTAGCTGTGGCTCTTCTAGAGGGCCCAGGTCCCCACGTCAGGGGACTCAACTGCCTGGAACTCCAGTTCTAGGGCACTTGAATCCTCTGGCTGAGACCACACACGTGCACGTATGTGCGCGCACACACACACAGTTAAAATAGTTATTTTTAAGGTGTTTTTTTTTTTTTTAAATGTGTGTGTCTCTCCGCATGTGTGCAGTACTCGCCGAGGCCAGCAGGAGGCAGGAGACCCCCGGCCCTCTGCAAGAACAGCTAACTGGCTTCTGAAAAGATGCAGGCTGCGGCTGCGGCTGCTTCCCTTGCCTCGGATGAAAGGCATCGCCGGGAAGTTCTGGGATGATGGAAGACCCTGCCCGGCTCACAGTCGGAAGAAGCAAAGCGCGGCCAGCAGAGGCCCCGGGGTACACGGGGAGGAAACTACAAGCGTGCACGCAGCCCCCGCTGACAGCAGACGCTTGCACCGAGCAGGCCCCTCAGCGCTCACACGAACCACAGCAGCGACCAGCGCCCGCAGTTCCTCCAGCCCCAGCCCTGGGACGCGCGGTCAACGTCACACTGAGCAGCCTCACTGCATCTCGTGATGGTGAGGGCACCCGCAGCACCGGGGCCGCCGAGGATGCTCGGTGGCAAGCTGGCCCTGCCGGATGGAGGCCGGGCGCATGAGTTCCACCAGAAGGCGAAGGACCCGGAGCGAAGCGCTGCCGTCCTGCCTGTCATCAGCCGTCATCTGCGCAGGCGGTGCGACCACTAACTCAAGGATTTGGCTCAGCTACGCCGTGGTTCTCTCTGCCAGGCTTTGCCATGTTCTGCTCTGTCCCTGTGACGTGGGCTTGCTGCCTGAAGAGGTCTGCAGTTCCCCTCAGTGCAACACAAGCCCAGTAGAGTAGGGGACGCTATCTTCCCCTCCCCGAGTGAGGAAGGGCAAGATTATACTAATGGGGATTGGCAGGCCTTTGCCAAGTTGAATTAAGTTACACCTGACTGGTTTGGTCAGGCTGTCCGGCTCTCTGAACGTTTCTAGTCTCTAAGTTACTTTTTTTCTTGTAGTCTTGAGAGGTTTGCCAGCACCAACAATGCCATCATCTCCATCCCTCTTACAAGCCTAACATAGACTTTTTTTTTTTCTTGTTTGTTTTGTTCTTGGTTTTTGTTTGTTTGTTTTTGGCTGAAAGCAACTGGAGACAGCATAATTTTATCACACCCCCCCCCCCAATGTAAAAGAAGATTCAGTTTTCCTACTGCACGAGTTTTTTTGGTTTGGAGAATTTAAACTTTGGTTCAATGCTTTTGTATCTTACACTCAAACACGCTAGTGGACACGTTAGCCTTCCACTCGAAGGACAGCACGCCAGCGACACTGTCTAGAGCTCTGCAAGGAGACAGCTTTAACATGACACCTTACCTGTGTTTGGGAGAGGCCAGCATGGAAGTTTCGGGAAATGAAAACGCACTGAGAATGAGAGTTAAACTTCGGTTTGGATAGTCCTTGCTTCAGCGTTTCATCGATTAATTTAAATTTGGGACTTTGTAACAATTCTCTGGAAAACATTGTACAGAAAATAATATTAAACAGGAATCAGATTATATGATTAATATATGCCAACTAAGCTAATTTGCCTCAAACATTTATACACAGGGTTTAAACTCAGCTTAAGTTGCCAGACCTTTAAAAGATGCAATCAGTTTATATACGATGACATTTATCAGACATCATTACGTCTGCTTTTCATACAGTGTAAACTTGGCTGCTTAGAGAAGGTTGGTATTTACAGTTTGGGTATTACTGAGTTACTCACACCCTCCTTTTTGGTTCTAAGGTAACCATCTTCACTGTTAGCCTTTCATAAATCCCTCTTTACTGGAGTGAAAATGAACCCACTGGTCCCTTCTGGCACGAAGAGGAGTAAGAGCCTGGGGGGAGAGGTCCTGCGGTCTTAGTTATCCTCGAAGTCACAAGCCAGCTTGGAGGGTTAGAAAGAACCACATGGTCCTTAGTAAAAACTCAGCTCATCGTCCTCAGAGGGAAGCATAAAGAGACGATGTTTCCTTCATAAAGTTAAATACTCGTCATGGCTGTCCTTGGTGTCAACTTGACTGCATCTAGGATTTTCTTGACTAAACCCAAATCTTTTGTAAATCTGGGCCACTCCTTCTGCTGGCAGCCTGCAGAAAGGATGTGGAAAAGGTTCTTTCATTTTTTGCCTGCTTGCCCTCACTATTGCTTGCAAGCTCATTCTTTCACTGGTGTTGGATGGGATTTTGATGGATTACAAGCAGCCGAGGCATCCAGCCTCATCAACTGAACAACTACTGGATTCTTAGACAATGGCAGATAGCCATTGTTGGGTTAGTCAGACCAAAATCTGTGAGCCACTCTAATAAATTCCATGTAAATATACATATGCCAGGCAATAGAATATTACTCAGTGATACAAAGAAAGGCGTTATCAAATCACACAAAGGCATGGAGGAGAACTGGGTATAGTTACTGCTCGTCATACCCCCAAGCCAGAGCCTGGGAGCTGAGGCAGGAGGATTTTCATGAGGTTAAGTCCAATCTGTGCCACCTAGTGAGTTTTAGGCCAGTTAGGCTGCATAGTTAAGCCCTATCTAAGAAAAAGTCTGAAGAGGACACGTTCTGTATGATACGATTTCATCTGATTTCAACTCTATGACATCACTCTGGAAAAGGCTGAACCGATGAGAGCTAGGCAGTGGTTGCCCGAGGTTAGGGAGACGTATGGACTCAGGGCAATGGCGATACTCTGGCTGGTACTGTAATTGTATGGGAAGAGTGACTCTTGATGCAAAATAAATTAACAACATGTTGACACAATCTTTTCAGGTGGTACTGTCCCCAAACAATAATAACTGCAGCTGTTTTTTTTTTTTTTTTTTTTTTTTTCAGAGGCAATAGAAAGTTTTCAAGTTAATTCAAGAGATCGTCGTGTTAGGTTCCTTCGTGAGATATTAACGATTAAGATCCAGTCACTCACTGAATTCATTCAACGAATATTTAACCTGCATGTCAGAAATGTTGGGTGTTGAATATTTAAGAGTGTGTTGGGGTATTGGCCCATGGCCACCATCTTCATGAACTGTCACATAGCTTAAGTACTAATAAGAAAGACATATTACAAGAAAATGAAAAATCATAGCTGGGTGCCGTGGTGCACACCTTTAATCCCAGCACTCAGGAGTCAGAGGCAGGTGGATCTCTGTGAGTTCAAGGCCAGCCTGGTCTAAAAAGCAAGTCCAGGACATCCAGGGCTCTTGTCTTACAGAGAAATCATGCCTTGAAAAAAAAAATAACAAAAAAGAAAATAAAAAAAACTCGAAAAATTATGACTATGGAAAGTGCCACTGAGGAACGTAAGCAGGGAACGTATGTGAATTGGTACAACAGGAGTTAACCTGGCTAGAAAGGTCAGTGAAGGGTTTCCTGAGGAAAAAGTGACTGAATTAGGCTGATGATGATGAAATGAGATTAGTGATTAGGTAAAATTTGCTAGAAAGGGGGAGCTGTGGAGGAGGTGTTATTCCAGGCAGATGGAGCATCAAATACAAAGGCCAGAGTTCCACCATGGAGGAGAAACACAAAAGGCAGGGCAGAGCTCCGGACATGGGAGGTGTGTGCATGGACAGACTGTGGGCTAAAGTCGGTGGGAAATCCTTTGACAGATAGTGGGCATGGAAGAGGAGAATGGAGCGATCCGATGGGACTCACATTTGGAAAATGTGTGGCTGAAGAGTGAAGAGCGTAACTGAGCTGAAGGCAGGGCCAGCTACACAGCCTGGTGCAGCAGTCCAGTGGGCGACAGGGAAGGCTTGGACAGTGGGAGAACCGTGCTAACGGAATGAGGTGGATGTGGGCGATTCATGAGGAGAAAGGAAATAGAACTCAGCGGGAGGGGTGGGAAAGGAAGAGGGAGCTCTCAAGTGTGTCCTCTAGTTTAAGCAGAAACACAGCCTTCCTTTGACTCATGTTCTGACTTGCATCTCAAAGTCCTCACAAACTCACGCTTTGAGCGTGTGCTGCCTGATGACGATGATGTGCTTGGGGGTGGGGGGTTTATGAGATGGAGCTTCATCGCTGTCTTCTCCTTCCCCGCCCCTGCCATCCACAGGGCCGTGAGGGGCCTCTGCCACACACTCCTGCACCTGCGAAACTGTGGACACACCTTCTCCACTGTGACAGACGGAAACCACCCGAAACCAGGAGCCAAAATAAGTGTTTCCTCCTTTCAGGATTTCTCTGTCCTGGACTAAGCTGGCCTTGAAACCACAGAGATCCACCTGCCTCTGCCTCTCCAAGTGCTGGGAATCCAGGCATGTGCCACCATGCCTGGCTCTCCTCCCATCAGTTTCTATGTTAAGTATTTTGGTCACTGTGATAAAAATAAAAAAAGCAGCTAATAAAATTCTATGTGCTCTAGCTACTGTCCCCTTTGCCAGTTTTCTAAACACACACACACACACACACACACACACACACACACTCCTCTTGAAAGAGACATCTGTACTTTTCTCAAGTTTCTCCTATCTCATCGTCCTCAAGGACCTACCTTTGAACCTGTCATTGCATCAGCATCCATCAACCTCTACCTCCCAGGTCAAAGTCATGTCTCTGTCCTCATCTCCTTCAACGTCAGGGCTTCAGGATAGCTGGCTCACGCCTCCTTCCCGTACATTTTAAAATTTCCACTTTCTTGACTCTCCACCTTCCCGCTTCTGCTCACATGCTGATTTTTCTTCCCTCAGCTGCTAGGTTTCCAGATGCAGGCAGCACGGGGGGCACGGGAACAGTTCATCTTTCACCGACTCCTCTCTGGTTCGCCTCATCCAGTTCTCCGGCTTTAGAGTCTCTATACCCAGTCTTCCACTCTGGCTCCTCAGTTTACCCTGGCGCGTCCAACCATAACGTGGCATTTCCGTTTGGGGCTTTACGTAGGCTTTTAAACTCACACTGAACACAGTCTCCTAGTTTATTATCATCTCTTCCCCAACTGATTGTGTTATGATAATTTTCCCGTGTCAGAAGATGTCACAACCACCACGATGTTCTGTCACCTCTCTCTTCTTTCCTTCGTTCTTTCTGTCAAGTCCTCCCTCTAGTAGCTCAAGTCCAATCCCTTCTTTTCATCTTGTCACGTTAGTTTGAAACATCTTCACCTCTCCCGTGGACGAAAGCTAGGCCTCTCACTTGCCTGCCTACTTTCTTGTTGCCCCGTTAAAATCCAGGCTTCACAGAGAAACATGGTGCAAAAATGTAAGCCAGAACTGCCGTAGCTCCTTGTCAGGAGCACACACCCACTTTCAGCAGCCGCTTCTGAAAAAGTGAACATGTGCCAGGGCTCGCTGACTCACATCTCTAATCTCAGCCCTCGGGACGCAGAAGCAGGAGGGTCTCTGTGGGTCTGGAGCTGGCTTGGTGTACATAAGTGAGTTAGAGCCCAGTCAGAGCGACACGGTAAAACCCTATCTAAACAAACAGAGAAAATAAATAACAGCAACCCTGTGAACTAACGAGCCTCTTAGGTATTTACCTAGCAGGAAAAAAAAAAGTCAACCATTGTTCTTTTTCTTTCTTTTCTTTCTCTTTCTTCTTTCTTCTTTCCTTCCTTCCTTCCTTCCTTCCTTCCTTCCTTCCTTCCTTCCTTCCTTCCTTCCTTCCTTCCTTTCTTTCTTCTTTCTTTCTTTCTTTCTCTTTCTTTCTCTCCCTCTCTCTCTCTCTTTCTTTCTTATGTAGTTATTATCTAGCCTAGTAATGCCTATGGACTCGTCAACTTCACAATTATTTTTCTTTCTCACTACAAGTTATTGACATGGTCTTTCTGATAATGCCCTGGTCCTTCCCATTTGGGGGTCTTGGTATCTGTTATTCTCTCAGCTAAGAAAGCCCACATGCATGTGCAAGAATGCTGGTCAGAGGATGCCTCACGGGAGTCAATTTTCTCCTTCTACCAGGTTGTAAGGCTTGGTGACATTATGTGCTTGGACATTTTTTTGGCCCTTAGAAAATTCTGCACAAAGCATTTAATAAGTCCTATTCTTTTAACTCACCCTGCACGCTTTTTATGTTTTCTCATTGTTTGTCTCCTGCCAAATCAAAACAAGAATATTTTCTGTCTTGTTCACTATTGTATCTTCAATTCCAGTAACAACGGAAGATAGCCAACAAATATTTCCCCTTATTATTCATGTTTTATTGTGCATTCATTAACTATTTGCTGAAACAATGAACAAATGAGTCCGTTCTTTCTGGCTGGCACATGGTAGAGAGACAGCTGCTCAGGTTAGACCACTGGAGGAAAACGTGGGAAGGCAACCTTTCAATCCATATTTTAAAAGTAGCTGAATGCAAAATCTGAGCCGATTCAATAAACAGAAACACATTTTAGAGTGGAAAAGAAGGTGTTAGCTAATCTTTTGGGTGTTTCAGGAGGGAGAGCACCTTTCCGCCCACAATCAGGGCCATCTGCCAGCTCTCTGAAATGGCTCCTAAAGAAAGGGTGTCTTCCTCTCGGTCATGTCTTAACCTCCCAACTGGAAGGTCACCCCTAATTTCTAGCTTTAGATTTCAGTCAGACCCATGTCTTCCAGTAAGTAAAGTAGGATTTGTTATTCCTTGAAGTTCCAATGTGCAGATTGCTGTGGTCCAGCGTTTCCCAACCTGTTGCCACACCCCTTCCGGGTCACATGTCAGGTATTGTGGGTATCAGACTTTTACATTCCAATTCATTACAGTAGCAAAGTTACAGTTATGAAGTAGCAACAAAATGATCTTATGGCTGGGAATCACAACAGAAGGGACTGTATTAAAAGGTCGCAGCATTAGGAAGGTTGAGAATCACTGTCTAGTCCTTCTTCCAGGCTATTTAATACACTTAAAACCTTTTCTAACCAAAGGGTCTCCAACCCAACCCCAGATCACAGTATCAACTTTATCCAAGTGATTTCAGTTTAATAGCTGTCGAAAAGCCCTTCATGGCATTTTAAACAAACAAACAGACAGACAGACAGACAAACCTTCTAATAAACCTTACCTTCGTTTGTAAATCAGGAACCACAAAGCAGATGCCAAAGCAAAGAATCCGATTCCCAGACTAACAGCCCCAGCAGCCAGGAAATAGGTTAAGAGATTAAGGAAACCTATAGAAATAAATGGCAGAGGGTCATTTCATGCACACGTCTCCGTTCTCCAGGCAAATTAAATGGGGTTACGTTTACAGTGATGTGACGCGTGTGATGTTAAGGCTGACCAAGAAATCGGGAAGCCTCAATTCTAGCCCTATACAGTCCAAATAAACGGAGGACAGAGCTGGAGAACACGGGACACATGGCAAACGGAGCTGGGAAAGCACATAGGGCTCTCACTGGAGATGGCGACCCTGAAGCCCTCGTTAGAGAAGTAACTGAACCGAAGCTGCACAGCAGTTAACGCCGGTGTCCTGACGCTCACCTATTTTCTTTGCTAGCTAACATCTCAATATAATACAGAGGTAATGAAGAATTACGAAATCACGATATAATTAGCATCATTGGCCCAGTCTTCGCTGTAATCTAAAAACCTGATACCTAAGCATATGGCAAACCACAGAAAGCTCTTATAGACCAACCTAGGTATTCAATAATAGAGGAGTGTGTATGTGTGTGTGTGTGTGTGTGTGTGTGTGTGTGTGTGTGTGTATGTGTGTGTGTGTGTGTGTATTCACAAACACCTAGCGAAACTCTTCTCAGCCGTTAAGAAGAGCAAAGCTCTGTCATGCAGGAAAGTGGATGGAAATGGAGATAAACATAGTAAGTGAATTACACTGGGTCAGAAAGACAAGCATCACGCTTTATCGCACTGGTGGCGTCATATAAACCCACGTATAAACTCACGTATGGAGAAATGAAGCTGTCTATGGGAGTGTGCCTGAGAATAGGGACACAAAAGAGCAGGAGCTATGGGGAACAAGCTTAACATACAATTCTACTTAAGATTTTTACATTTAATTTAACGTGTCTTGCTTGCATGCATGTCTGTGTACTACTGTGTGTTGTGCCTTGAGCTCGCAGAGGCCAGAAGAGGGCATCGGATCCCTTGGAGTTGGGATGGTTGTGAGCCACCATGTGGGGGCTAGGAATCAAACGTCCTTTAGAAGAGCAGCCAGTGCTCTTAATTGCTGAGCCATCTCTCTGGTCCCATTATTATTATTATTATTATTATTATTATTATTATATTATTTTGTTTGTCTGTTTTGCTTTGCTTTTGTCTTTTGTTTTTAAGGACTTTGTTAGTTTTTTAAAAAAATTTCCTAAGTGATGTCCAGCTTCAAGATAGCTCCTCTCAAATTGTAGCTTACCGAGTTTAAAAATACCTACATTCAGCCAGGCAGTGCTGACACACTTGGGGGGCTGAGGCAGGTGGATCTCTGTGAGTTTGAGGCCAGCCTGGACTACAGAATTCCAGGATAGCTAACCCTACACAGAGAAATCTTGTCTCAAAAAGCAGAACAAACAGACAACAACAAAGAGATATTTCTTGTTGGCTGGAGCAGCAGCCCAGTGGTTAAAAGCACACGCTGATCTTCCAGAGGACCTGAGCTTGGTTCCCAGCTCTTTTGTCAGGCAGCTTGTGAACTGTCTGTAACTCTAGTTCTAAAGGGTCCTACACACCTGGCCTCCAAAGATACCTGTATTCACATACACATGTTCACATGCAGAAACACATATATCTGTGTAGAAAAATAAAGGTAAACCTTTAAAAATATTATTGATTTTTTTAGGGTACACCTTTAATCCCGGAGCGCAGGAGGCAGAGGCAGGACAGTCTCTGTGAGTTTGAGGCCAGCCTGGTTTACATGGTGAGTACCAGGACAGCCAGGGTTATGTAGGGTGATCCTGTCTCAAAAATTGTTTTTTAATTTGTTTACATTTATTCATTTACTTACTTAGTGTGTGTGGTAATGAGTTCTTAAAAATAAGTTAAAATAAAATTGAGTAAGAAAGGAGTAGTTTAATGTGCTGAAAATGATAATATCAGAAACTTAAAAAAGTGAAAAATGGCTAAATGTCCAATAATCATGTATAAACTTTATTTATTATAAATATATTAAATCCCAAATAAAACATTATGAACATTATATCTAATATATTATGGGGAAAATGGAAAAGACAAGGGAACAGGAGTATAAAGTCTCCTTCCCTGATGGTGGGAATACAGTTTGAGAAAAGCTCTGGGAAAATGGTTCCCTTAGATAAATTTAAAAGCAGAATTGATGAAAAGAAACAAGATGTCCCAGAATAATGGGAACAGAACGAGCTACAACCGCGTGCACCAAGACATATTTTACAGATCAAGTGTTGAGCACAAGCAGATGTTCAGACACAGATATCAAGGGAGATGTTTGCAGTGATGCTGAATGTGTTGTTTCGTGGCTTAGGTACGGACACACGCATGCGTACTGAGACTTCAGCAACCTTAGCACTTGTACTTAGCAACACATCACATTTACGACGCTCGTTATCTCCAGGTGTTCGGGAGAAACACAGACGGACTCCTTAACACTCCATCCTTTAAAAGATACATGGATAATATGACAATAAATGTTCACTTAAAAGATTGTGTGGGTGTTAGTTATTGTCCCTTTTCCTACACCATTTAGAAAAATTCCTCCACGATTGTAAAAAATGGAATGTCCCGAATTTTAAAACAAAAACAACAACAACAAAAAAGAAAAACTATATAAGGAAAAATACTATGGGCTATTACGGGGCACAGGCTTATAGGCACTTTTCTGTGTTATCAAAGCCCTTCCAGTGGTAGAGCACCTGCCTAACAAGGAAGGTCCTGGGGTAATCTCCAGCAGTAGAAAAAAAATCTAGACTTGAGGAAAAAATAATAAAATCAACAACTTTATATTAATCTTATCACAAAGTGAAAAATTTGAAGCATAAATAACATATTAGAATGAAAAAAAACCCCACAATTACAGACACAACGAAAGTTGAAATAAGAAAATGCTGTCAAAATGACAGCTGATATATTAGCTAAAATGCTAATATAGTTAAAGCTTATTTAAAATAACGAATACCTGAAAAGCGATTTCTAAAAAAGTTCGTCAAGAGCTTCCTGTGCCGACAGAGCTCTAACGAAACAGTGAATGTTCCCAAGGCCTGCAGCACGTTCTGTAAGGAATATGGCTAGCACCAGCCCCACACAGCGACACAGCCCGTGGAGGGCAAGAGCTTTTATATGTCCAGGGCAAGGCCTTATGACCAGAAACAGAGTGGTTGCACTGGGCAGACGAACACTGTTTTCTGTGAAAGGGTTAAACCTATGGAGAAGATTGTGCTGAGCCTAATCTTCTCAGCTGAGAAGATGCTGAGCCGCATCTGCAGATGCGAGAGCACTTAGGCCGGTAAGAGACGTGAGCTTAGCTGATCTGGTTATGACGACAATAAAATCACAAGCTTTTCCTCAAAATATAAAGGGTGATTAAAAAGAAAGAAAGAAAGAAGTGACAGGAACTCAAGGGAACACAAATTCATTACATTGAATCAGCAGTTACAAAATTTTCCCCCAAAGAAATTGGTGGTCCCCAAAATGTTACAATTTCTACTGTATACCCATGATGCTAGCATTTCTTATCTTATACAAGTTCTTCCAGAGAACAGAAAGAGATCGCCAGCTCTTCCTCCAAACACATTTTCTTCTCTGTGGGCAAAACAGTAGACTGTCTCAGCTTCCCATACCGTTAGCTGAAGCCTTGTAACAGAGTTCTGGCCAGAAGAATCTGAATGCAATGATGTCATAAACGCTTCCTGAAGCTCTTTCTTCCAACTGTTGAGGAGGACAGTGATTCTCACTGAAACTGTAGAAGTCACAGGCTGATAGCGCCTCCATCAACCTACTGTGCGCAGTCGACACAGAAGATTAGCCTCAAGGGATCTCCTATTCTTTGCGAGGGTATGTTCTGTATTCTCCAATATGAGAAACAGTTGAAGAGCAGGAAACTTGGGAGATGATCCATTTTGAATCAACCCACGGGCAGCAAGAAATCTCAAGGAGAACCAGACAATATTTTTAATAAGTATAATGAAAATATGTCGAGATTTGTGTGGTACCAGCCAAGCAATACTCAGGGACTAGAACTGACCCCTGCTCCCCACCCCAAGGGGGAAAACATCTAGATGTCTAAAGTTATTGATGTCAGGCATAGTGGCCCATACGGTTAATCCCTAGACCTTGGGAGGCAGAGGCAGGTGGATCTTTCACTGTTCATGGCCAGCCTGGTCTACATAGTAAGTTCCAGAACAGCTTAGGCTATATAGAGAGATACTGTCTCATTAAAAAAAAAAAAGTATTGCTCTACTAGTATATATTTCATGAAAAAAAAAAAAGACCAAAGTTTTATTCTCAGTGATTTATGGATCTAGATTCCATAGTCTAATAACTCATGTGAGAGAGGTTCTAAAAATAAATCATGATTTCTCTTGTGACTTCTGCTTTGTCGTTTTTTGCTTTTCTTTTTTCCCTTCTTTTCTAGACTGTGTTAATGTGGTTCTAGCCTTGAACTCGGAGATCTGCTTGCCTCTGCTCCCTCAATGTTTTTGAGGTGAATAAACTCAAATGAGTTATATAGACATTTGGTGAGCCCCTCTGCTATTCACTGTGAGTATTCTAAACATTCTCCTTTTTCATAGTTTTCTTTTTCAGAATGTGGAAGTTTATTACTGCATTTCCACTGTCAAAATTTATGATCTTGGTCTTTCCTTCTTGCGTTTGTACAGGGCCAAGAGAGATACATTGGCCACTTTAACAACCCAAAAGCCATCTCCAGAAACGTCACCTCCACCACGACCTTTTCCACCAAATCTGGCAACCAGAATGTCATCGTTTTCCTCAATGAAGTTCAAGCAATCGCCACTGGGCACAAATGCTGTGATCTTCTTGCCGTTCTTGATAAGTTGCACGCTGACACACTTCCAGACAGCAGAATTGGCTGTTTGGCTTCAACCCCTGTTTTTTCCAGCACAATTCCCTTTGCATGAGAGGCACCTCCAAAAGGCCTGGCCTTCAGAGCTGTGCCCAAGTTGGCTTTCTGGTTTTGTTTATCATGCCACTCGTGGTCCCTGCGGTGACTTTGGAGCTCCCTGGCAGCACGGAGACCACGACACTTGCCCATCTTGTTGGCGCCATGGGCGTGAGAGAAAAGTTTTGATAGTTTTCAGCACCATCTACTTACTGTTTCTAATTTCAGAACTTTTTATTTCATGCTCCCAAATACACCTTTCCTTTCCCATTTGAAAATGCTATCCATTTGTTTTTGCTTCATTTTGTTTTGGTTTTTGAGGCAGTGTCTCTCTGTGAAGTTCTAGTTGGCCTGGAACTTGCTATGAAGACCAAGCTGTCCTCCAAATCACAGAGGTCCACTTGTACTGGACTCCAGAGTGCTGGGATTAAAGGTGTTTCCACCATGTCTGGTTAGAAATATTTTTTTTAATTTATTAAAAAAAAAAGTACATGAATATGTGTGGGCCAGAATCTTTTACTTTAAACATATTTATTACGTATTTTTTTTATTTTTATAAAATAGTCTGCCAATCTTTTTTTGTATATTATTGATTTTTGCTTATATTTGCATATAGTATTTATATTATATTTACTTATTTCTTATTTTTATTCTTTTATTACGTTATTTACTTTACATCCCGATCTCAGCTTCTCCTTTCTCCCTTCCTCCCAGACCCTTTCTCTCCCTTCCCCTCCTTCCATCCTCCCCTTCTCCTCAGAAAAGGGGAGGTCTCTCATGGATATTGGTCAGCTTTAGCATATCAAGCATATCAAGTAAGACTAGGCACATATCTTCTATTGAGGCTAGACAAGGCAGCCCAGTTAGGGAAAAGGTATCCAAAGGCTGGCAACGTAGTCAGAGACAGCCCCTGCTCCTGTTCTAAGGAGTTCCACATGAAGACACAGCTGCACAACTGTTACGTGTGTGCTGGGGGCCTAGGTCTGTCCCATGCATGCTCTCTGGTTGGCAGTTCAGTCTCTATGAGCCCCTATGGACCCAGATTAGTTGATTCTATAGGTTTTCCTGTGGTGTCCTTGACCCCTCTGGTTCCTTCAATCCTTCTTTCCCCTCTTCATCAGGACTCCCCAAGCTCCGTTTAATGTTTGGCTGTGGGTTTCTGCACTAGTATCTGCCACTTTCTGATGACAGTTTGCTAACCTCCTGTCTGTAAGTATAGCAGAATATCATTAATAGTGTCAGGAGTGGGCTCCCTCTCAAGACATGGCTCTCAAGCTGGGCCGGTCATTGGTTAGCCCTTCCCTCAAATTCTGCTCCATCTCGTAGGCAGGACAAATTGTGGGTCTAAGGTTTTGTGGCTGGGTTGATGTCCCAGTCCCTCCATTGAAAGTCTTGCAGGAGGCAGCTAGTTCAGGGCGCATATGCCTCACTGCTAGGAGTCATCCTCATAGATTCCTGGGGGTTTCCATTGTCCCAGGTTTCTAGTTCCTGTCAGAGGTTCCCCCCCCTTCTAGTGTCTCTCACAGTGCTCTCTCCCTCTGTCTCCCCTACCGCATCCGGCCTGTTCCCATTCCCACTAGCTCCCTAGTCTAGTCCCTTCCATCCATCCCTCCATGTCTAATCTATTCTCCCTTTTCAGTGAGATTCAAGCATTCCCTCTTGGGCTCTCCTTGTTAGTTAGCTTCTTTGGTTCTGTGGTTTGTGGCATGGATATCCTGTACTTTATGGCTACACATCTTGACGCCTTGTTGTATTTTTAAGTATCTCTAAGTCTGGTTATGTTCCAGACGTAAAGACTATCGGTGACTGGGAGACGGCTCCTTTGGTAAAGTGCTCCCTGCATAAACCAGAAGGACCTGGTTTTAGAGTTCAGGATCCATGTACAAGGCAGAGTTCGGAAGCATGTGCCTATAGTTCCATCACTGTGGTGGCGAAGACAGGGGAGTACATGGGGCTTGCTGGCCAGCCAGTCCAGCCAACAAAAAAGCTTTAGTGAGAGACCCTATCTCAAAACTTAAGGTATGGATAGTAATAGCCAGACTGTCTTGACCTACCAGCCACCCAAGGACTGAAATCTTGGCTTTAGCTTAGGCTTGTGCCCAACTAGCATGCATAACTTAAATTAACCTCTTTACACTGACTTATGTTCTGCTCCTTACCACTCTTCAGTACCAGCACCTGCTACTTCCTCCAAGTCTGGCTGGCAAATCTCCCACACCTGGTTCCTTGCCAGAGTTCCTATTCTCTCCTGCTTAGACATTGACCGTCAGAGCTTTATTAAACCAACCAGAAGGTGTCGGAGGAAGTGTTTACAAAATATGATGCAGCCATAAGAATAAAAATACCGAAGTCCAGCTAGCTCTCTGCTGCTGCAGAATTAACATTTGAATACTACAAAAACAACCTTTGCACAGTGCACAAAAAAGATCACCCCAACGTCTCCGCATTTTAGTCCAATGAAAGGCTCTTTCTCTAACATCAAAAAACTATATATGATAAGAACAATATAGGAACTATAAGGCAAGAATTACATTCACAATGTCCAGTCCATTTGTTTGCCAGACTTAGAGAAAATATCCCACTATCTATCCTATCTTGGTGAGTCCATGGTTCTGTACCTAAATCACTTTCTATCATAACTTGCATATATCAATATGAAAACATCTCTTAGACCTTAGATTATTTTCTTTTTCTTTTTTTTTTTTTTTTTTTACAGGTTCAGCTTTTTTATTGGACACGTTAACAAGAGGTTTAGTCAAAAAGACCAAAGCCCATGTCATCATCAGACTCTTCAGATTCTTCCTTCTTCGCTTCCACTTTCTTCTCCTCAGCTGGGGCCGCAGTAGTGGCTGGGGCAGGACCTCCTGCCGGTGCAGCTCCAGCTGCTGGAGCTGGCCCACCAGCCCCTACATTGCAGATGAGGCTCCCAATGTTGACGTTGGCCAGGGCCTTTGCAAACAAGCCAGGCCAGAATGGTTCAACGTTGACACCGGCCGCTTTGATGAGGGCATTGATCTTATCCTCCGTGACCGTCACCTCGTCGTCGTGAAGAATGAGGGCGGAGTAGATGCAGGCGAGCTCGGAGACTGAGGCCATGTTGCGGGTTGCCGGAACGGTGCTAGTCGCCGGAGAAGTGAGGGACTCACCCCAACGCGGCCTTAGCTCCCTCGGAAGGACCGAGCACCTTGGCGGCAGCGGAGGAAAAGCAGATTATTTTCTTAACATTAAAAAAATGTAAGCTTACATATAAGACTATAACTATATAGTTTTCAACCCCATCAGAGACCTAAGAAGAATATTACCTGAATAAACACAAAATGCAAGCAGCTTTCAAAACTGTAGAAATGACAGACTTCTGTCTACCTGGATAGTCACCCAAGATTTATCTGCATTGTTGGGGCAACTATCTTTGGCCTACAGGCCCAGACTTTCTGACAGACTTATCTGTGAAACAGGACTATTGAAGGACTGTTTTACCTTGACTTGGTGAAGTTCAGAAGTTGACTTTCTTCATCTCCTGTTTGTCCATAGCTTAAACAGCATGCTGTCAGCAGTTGAGCCAAGGGCAGTTTTTTTGTTCAGTGGCTAGCTGTGCCACATTTGAAGCAAACTCCATAAGGAGGTTCTTCAATGCCCATCTTCTTTGAAGCATTATGGGGTGCTGCCAGGAGCAGATGTATCTTACTGTCGAAACGGCCGTTTATTGTTAAAACATCTTTAAGTGCCATATTTTGCAGATCTCTGAAGTGTTTGAAGACCATCTATATATAGTATATTTAAATAGGCAAGTGTTGCTTGTTTCTAGTCATTTACTATCTTATTAACTTGAAAACATCCACAGGCGGCTAAGCAAGGCTTATTTCTTTGATTA